CTTCGAGAACTTAGCATACAACTGTTTTCATCTCATAACTCCCAACAAATCCTTGAGGTACTCTTCGTGCTGCTCTCGGGTCTTGGAATATACCAAGATATCATCAATAAACACTATGACCGAGCGATCAAGCATTGGTCTTCAGACCCGATTCATCAGGTCCATAAATACCGCTGGTGCGTTGGTGAGCCCAAATGGCATCACCACGAACTCGTAATGACCATTACGAGTCCGAAACATGGTCTTTTCCACGTCCTCCCCTCTGAACTGGATCTGATGATACCCTGACCTCAAATCTATCTTGGAGAACCAAGATGAACCCTGTAACTGATCAAAGAGGCCATCTATCCTCGGGAGTGGATAACGGTTCTCCATTTTCAACTTGTTCAACTCCCTATAATCGATGCACATCCGGTGCGAACCATCATTCTTCCTGAAGAAGAGGACTAGTGCTCCCCGTGGAGAACTACTAGGTCGAATGAACTGCTTACCCAACAGTTCCTATAGCTGTGATGAACTCTGATCCCACTCTGGTGCCCTCGCCGTATACCATCAGTTCTCCCCCACTTGGGGTTCGAACTACCACCCGCTGGCCCTCACAATCTATCATAACACTGAATCGGCTAAGCCAATCCATCTGCACAATCATAAACACTTCTCCCATGGGAATAGGAATCAAGTCTAGCGGAAAAGATACTCTAAAGATCTCCAACTCGCATCCTCGGTAAACCGAAGAAGCAGAAACTCCGTTTTCGTTGGCAATGGAGATTCGCAATGGACACTCTAGCTCACCTACTGGCACACTGAACTCCCTACTGAAAGCCTGAGATATGAAAGATCGACTCTCCCCCGAGTCAAATAAAACCAATGCAGGTAAGGAGTTCACTAAAAACGTACCTAAACACAGGTATAACAGATAACCATAACACAAATATAATAAATAAGATAAAGGATAGAAACATACCGGCAACCGCATCCGGTGCTGCCCTAGCCTCCTCTCCCGTAAGCTATAAGGCACGTCCCTGAGCCTTCGGAGGCTCGACCTTAACTGGCCTCCCATATGTAATCCTCAATGTAGATGATGCTGGAGTCGACGCCGACTTGGCGGCTAGGAGAGGGCATTTGGCCTTCATATAGCCCACCTGCTCACAATGACCCCGGAAAATAGATTCGACTGCCTGCAATCCCTAGCTAGATGGCCCTACTTGCCACATCGGTGGCACCTACTCCCTGATTGGCACATCCCTGAATGAGCCTTTCCGAACTTCCCACAAGTGCGGCCTGGCTATCCCCCTGTCCTGGTATCAGCAGTCTTAGACCGCTTCGGCGCCGGCTGAGATTGTGCCGTGTTAAGTGTGTCAAACCCAACAAATAAATGGGTACGATATAGTCCAAAATAATCCCACTATATTGCACTAAAAGGTATTACAAGGCAAGTAGGGTCGATCCACAAAGATACAGGATAATTAGTCTATACCTCTTTGCACAAGATATTATAGTCACCAATGGTAATAAGGGGGTTTAGAATGCAATGACTAAACAAACAAATTTAAAACACGAGTAGAAAACTAAACGAATGAATTAAGTTCAGATTTTGTAAGGACTCCAACTCCATGTATGACAATTTAACAACGTGACTCAAAGATGACAAAATATTCGTTCAATTCTATCTAAGTTGGTACTTAAAAGTGCTAATAAGCTCTAACACTTCCCATTCACCACATTAATTAACCAAAACAAGATCTTTGATTAACCCTAACCTTATTAACCTAATCTAAACAAGCTCTTAGAATTAGATTATAAGATTGCATGAAGCTTTATGTGAATGTTCCCAACAACACCCAATACTCCTCATAAGCTCGGGAGTGTAAAAGTGTATGAATAAGATTTACACTAAATTCATTCAATAGAGATTGATTTAATGCTTGTTACTTGTTCAATTTCACAAAACAATTATGGATTTTGTAAAAGAGATAACTTGAATGACCTAACCTTAATTCAAATGGCCAATAAGAATCACAATTAGAATCAAAGATTCGATTGAAGAAAAATCAAATTCATTAGATAGAAATTAAGAACAAACATCATGTCATATGATTGAGGTCACTACCAAGACGTTAAAACATGAAATTGGAGAAGTTAGGGTTCTAGCTACACTTGGCTAGAACAAGATGACAAGTCTAAAAGATGAAATTAAGTGTAATTACAACTTATAAAAACGAGAATTAATGTTTCCAAATGATTAACGGACAAACCCTTGCAAAAACCTTTGAATTCTCCTCTCCAATGGTGCTATGATATGTTGTGTCTATGTAAAAATGGCTCTTAACCCGTAATATGAAAGATAGGAAAAACTGCCAAAAGTTAGTTTTTGGGTCGAACACGGCTCGTGTTAAAATAGGCTAAACTGACACGGGTCGTGTTCAGCAACACGTCCCGTGTTGATTTGCACTAAACTGACACGGGTCGTGTTCAGCAACACGCCCCGTGTTGATTTGCACTAAACTGACACACCCCGTGTTCAGCATGGTCAACAACTCCTATTTTGGTCAAACACGCCCCGTGCCCACTTTTCAGTGTAAATTCAACATGCCCCGTGTACCTCTCTGACTCCAATTCCAAACTTGATTTTTCCAACTTTTTCGTTCTTCGCCCGATCATTCCGAAATCTTCACCAATGCTTTCCAACACTTCTCAAAGCGCGTTCCAACCTCCAGTTTACCTGAAAAAGACATGAAAATGTGTAAATAAGGTTGTTCTAGAGACTAACATAAAATGTGATTAAATTCAAGACAAATGAAGGAAAATTATGCTAAATAGATGCATGAAATGGCACTAAAAGGTGTGCAAAAAGGTGCACAAATTGCACCTAACATGCCGAGACCTGACACTGCTCCCTCAACTGCAGCTCAATCTCAAACTCATGCCACCTAGCGGCCTCCTGTAACTCCAGAAGGGTATCACATCGCTATGGGGCAACAAACTGACAGATGTCCGTCTTGAGCACGCTCAGATAACGAGTCATCTGAGCCTGCTTTGAAGCAAACTTTAGGCAGAACATCTCCCTCTTGGTGAAGATACAGGTGATCTCCAACACAGACTCCCCATCCTGTCTCAAACTCACAAACTCCTGAGACAATCGTTCCCTCTCAACACTTGGAATGTATCAAGCGCGAAACATATCACTAAACTGCTCCCATGTAACAACAACTCTCTGATCATCAGTGTACGATCCTATCATCAACCTCCACCAGTCCTTGGCCCCGGACCTTAGTAGGTTTAGAGCACACCTGACCTGCTGGTCAGTAGGACACGAGCAAGTACAGAAACACACCCCTCCACATCAGAAATCCACCTCATAGCCTTGATGGGATCTTGTGTCCTATCAAAAGTAGGGGGCTTCGTGTTATCGAAGTCCCCGTACTGGAAGCCCCGACTGACTCATACTACTCCTCCTTCCGTGGTTACAGCTGATGTAGCTGTAGTGGCAACCGTCTCCGCAAGGACTGCATATCTATCGTCGAAGTACTCCATCATAGCGGACTTAATAGTCCCAAACAACTCCGGAATCTGTCCCCGAACAATCTCTACCACCTTATCGCGGATGATCTCCCTGACCCGATCCTCCGTCAACATTGATGCCTCCTGGCTGATAACCTTAGGCGCCGCTAGGGCCTCCTGATCACTCTGTCCAGATCCTGATCCGGATCCAGTCACGAAACGCCTCGTAACCACCATACTAAAAATATAGCAGGAAGATATCAGACAATCCACATAAATAACCGAGAACCAACTCCCTACTGATCCCTAAGGGTTATAACTTCCTTGTTACGCGTATGGG